TTCTCATTATTACCTATTGCAACAAAATCTTAAATAAGAATACATAAGAAATATGTAAAAAATTTGCCCATCCCTAGAAAAAAATATTGTCGGGAAAATAATATTGTCGGTAGAATGATTGTCGGGAAAGTTAGTCGAGAAAATTAGGTATACCCCTTGATAATTACCTAACCAAGTTCAATAAATCTTTTTATTTAAATTTTACAGATTCGTAGAATTCAAATAAAAAAATTTTCGTTGAACTTAGCTATGTATTCATCAAGATATCTTTGCTCAAAAATTAAAAAATTTGATACAGTTTGAAATTTTAGAATTTTTTTTACACTTAGAAAGAAGATATCTCGAAGAATACCTAACCAAGTTCAATGAAAAATTTTTTTAATAATCCGTAGAATTCAAATAAAAAATTTTCATCGAATTTGGTCATGTACTTGTCGAGATATCTTCACTCAAAGTTATAAGAATTTTGATGCTGCTTGAATTTAGATAAACGTGCAGATTTTTTTAAATTTTGAACGAAGATATCTTAACGAGTATCAAAACAAATTCAATAAAAAATTTTTTTATTTTAATTCTACAGATCCGTAGAATTCAAATAAAAAAATTCTATTGAACTTTGTAAGGTACTCGAGAAATCTTTGTTCAAAGTTATAAGTATTTTGATGTAAATTTTTAGACGTGCAGATTGTTTATTTTTTATTTTTAACTTTGAACGAAGTTATCTCGACGAGTACTTAACCAAATTCGCTGAAAAAAAATTATTTGAATTCTAAGGCTTCGTAGAATTCAAATAAAAAATTTTTTATCGAATTTGGTTGGATATTTATCAAGATACTTTCGGTCAAAATTTTAAAAAAATTTTTATATGATTGGTTGCAAAATACTGTCAGTTAAATTGACTGTCTACCATACATGTGATTTATCACCGCTTTAGACGACTCCATTTTTGGTAAAATCCTTGACTGTGTACTTTAAAGAAATGAGATGAATTCGATAAATATAATTTTATCTGCACAGGTTCAGCGATTTAGGAGTTATTGTCATTTAATATAGACACTAAATCATCATTTAATATAGACACTAAATAAAATTTTAATAATACATATTTAAAAACAATCAAAAAACCGTATTTACAGAATTTAAACATGTCCGGTCGTAAAATACATTTCTACTTGGTGATCAAACCAAATTTTTGTTTAACCGAAACTAAGTATTTTTGTATGTAAAAATAGCTATAAGGTTGATTAATATTACCAAAATTGCCATATACAATAACCGGGTCTGATATATTTCACCAATTTAAGATCTGAGGTATAAGAATTCATATCGTAAAAAGTAAAAATTTGCATTTTTGAAACTGCATTTCAATTAAGGATCCTGAGATCCGCACCAGGTTACGTATATTACATGGGTATACTATTCAGGGGGGACTTTTTATATGGCCATTTAAACTTTATTAGTAAACAAAAATGGCTATAAAAATTCCCCACCGGCATCTTTGATCTATTAACGATAATAAATCGAGCCATTTTCTCTAAATGACTATATTAGTTAGTGTCATGATTTTATTGGCTATGATCAACAAGTTATTATCTTGTAATCTAAAATTACCGGCTCTGATTTTGACAATTTTGGGTCAGAGCGGTATAAACAAATAATTTTAGGAAATTAGATAATCGTACGGAAAGATGTTATTTGACATAGCAGATAGATGATAAAAGGTCTCCATTATAACGGAAATTGATTTTTCTGTGCATGCGATGTCGTACACATGTACACATGTGTTATAGTGTTTATCCTTTGCAGGTATTACGTACGCACGTATAAATATATCGGTTTATTGTGTTCATAGTTTTTATCTTTTACCATTTTCTTCCTTTTCTTTCGCTTTTAATAAAAATTTATTTTATCCTTCTTTTTACTCAACTAATAATAAGGAATCATGCCAGAACTTTATGATACAGTTATATCATTTAAACAACTTTCTAGCGATTTTCTTAAAATTTTAGATCAGGAAGAAACTTTCGATGTAATAATTCATGTAGGAGACGAGATCGCTAGTGAGTCGTTTAAAGCACACTCGATCATTTTAAGAACTAGGTCTGAATACTTTAGAGCTGCGTTATCTGCGGCATGGAAAAAAAAAGAAAATGGATTTTTTGTTATTGATTTACGAGGCATGAGTATACCGCATGCTATATTTGGACATGTGCTTTTGTACGTATGAATAAATAAAATATTTATTATTTTTAATCGAGAATTTTTTTTTTTAAAAAAAGAGAGATTGTTTTTGAAATTAATCTAAAATTTACTTATTTTATTAAAGTTATATATATGGGGCATATTTGAAAATCGAAAAGCTTGGAGTAACGGAAAAGTTGCAACTATTAAAGGCAGCAGATATATTAATGATGGATGCATTTGTAGATTATTTAGAGGCAGATTTAATTAGGACTGAGAGATCTTGGATAAATGAGAAAAGTAGTGAAGTATTATATGTAGCATTACAAATATCACGATGTAAAGAATTAGTGTCATTATGTAATGACGCAATTTTACGTCATCCAAAGGCCTTCATAAGCTCTAAAGAATTTTTATTCATGCCGCATGACTACGTGGCCAGTTTGATAGAACGAGACATATTGGGTTTGGACGAAATAGACATTTTTGCTGCGGTTATCATGTGGGGTATCAATAACACACCTGGCATTTCACTCGCTGACGACTTTTCAACCTGGACAACCGATAATATAACCACACTACAATCTAATGTAATACAACTAATTTCACAGATAAGATTTTTCCAAATGTCACCGGATGATTTCATGAAAAAAGTAGGCCCGTTAACGAGAGTATTTGCACCAGAACTTTATGATCAAGTTGTGGAGTATCACGCAAACGCACAATTTCAATATATTTATGACGTTCAGCCTTTACGCCTTAATTCGACGATAATTAAAGAGAATGAAGAGCCAGCACTAATTTCCTATTGGATAAATCATCCGGATACAGACTGTGATCTTCCAGAAAATTTACCGTTTGGAACATTCGACAAAATTCCATTTGACTTTCATTTAATTTTTCGATGTCCTGGTAATGAATTAGCTCAAACTACATGGAGAGACCTGTGTTATGATCAAGGACCAACAATGACAATAATTAGAACTAAAAATCAAAACGAAGATGAAGCGGTATTTGGAGGATACAAATCGATCAGTTGGTCCACAGAAAACCGGAATACACATATAGGTGGAAATGGATTCATATTTGGATACTTATGGCAACAACGAAAATTATTACTTCCATGGATGCTCCGGGTAAACAATCATCTTGATGTTGATATGTTTTTAGGTGATGGTGTGGAAGTGTTTATTGATTTTCGCCATGGGGAAAAGTTATTGGCCCATGCTAACGGTTTCGAAGATTTAGAAGAAACCATAGAAGAATTAGAGGTCTTTCGCGTTGTAAGAAAAGTATCGGATGAAGGATGATTGGAACAAAGGACCATTTATGGGTAATATCTTGCTAACCTTCAATTGTTACTCTCTTTTCTGCAGTGTATCCGCAACATTAACGATACGAAAAAAATAAAAATTTCGACTCTATTGATACATTTAATCATAGAAAAAAAAGTATAAAGGAAAAAAAAAAAAAAAACGCAAACAAATCAAAAAAAAAAACTACAAAAAAAAAAAAAAAAAAAAAAAAAAAAAAAAAAAACAAAATTTTATGTAAAAAATTTTAAAAAAAATAAAATTTTTTTTTACTTTTTTTTTTTTTTTTTTTTTTGTTATCGATAGAGTTTAGGCATAATAATTTGGGGAAAATTTTTTTGAAAAAAACATTAATTGCATTCATTAAAATTTAAAATCTCAGGCACAAAACACTAATTTGTATTAATCACAATATTTGCATGTTTTCTTCAATTACGAATTAATAAAATGAATAAAATAGAAATCGTATTGTTGGATATTTTATCTGTCTTCTCATAAGGTCTTGTGCACACGTGAAATTACTATATGTCCTGACGTAATGAACTTTTCAATTGACCAATCACTTGCTTTAACGTGCCTTTTGAAAATGTAATATAAAGATAGTACTCTGTTATTATAGTTTAGTTGATTTTTTGATTTACACAGGTACGCACGTACGTTCAGTTCTTCCATGCTAATGATTGCACTATTTAATATTTGATCGAGTATACTCTGGTTTAAGTTCAATCTTCTATTTTCTGTTTATTATTAGGTACTCGTGTTTGTCTATTTTTTTTTGATGATTCCAGTTTATTCAAACAGGTGCTATCAATTTTAATTTTTGAATAGTTCTTTGTACGTTGTTGGGGATGAAAGCTGATATTCTTTGTTAATTTAATAATTTTTAATTTTAATCATACATTTTAAAAGTAGTTAATAAGATGTTTGTTTTTTTAGTTTTAATATAGTATTTTTTTAATACATTTTAATTTTGCTTTCTATTTTTTGGAAATTTATTCTGATTGTTTATATATCCAATTAATATCCAATTTATTATATATCAGATATGTATATATTGAAAATGATTTTACGTATGTTATTATTTTTGTTTTTAATAAACAAAAATATTGGTTTATTTCTTTTTGTTTTTTGCAAACAAGTGATTTTAATGCTATTTTAAATTTAATTCTTGTTAACATTATTAGTATATTTTATATAAATTTACAAGTTTTATAAATAATTTGTTTTTTTAAAAGTTATTTAATAAGTATAGAAAAACTATATTAAGATTTTGCAGGCCAAAAACAACAAACCTGGTACGTACGTATTAAAAATAATAGTTTTGAAACTAGTCTTTAAAAAGTTTATCAACAATTGGTAAATAATTTTTGATCAAAAATTGAATAAACTTTATTGCGGTTTGCAGAATTATTGTTATGTGAAATTTGATCATTAAAAAAAAAGTAATCACTAATTCCGATTTCTTCATTTTTTTTGACTTTTAGATTAGACAAAATTTGCGTATCTAATATTTTGTAAAAATTTTATTATTTTTTATAAAAATAAAAGTTGCATATTCATTTGCAAAAATAGGTGTTGCGCATTAAAATATCCAATCAAATTTTTACAAATGATAAATGCGCAAATTTTGTCTAAAAAAAATGAAGAAATCGGAATTAGTGATTACTTTTTTTTTTATTGATCTTCAAATTTCACATAATTTTGCAAACCGCAATAATACAGTACAAGCATGGTGGACAAACCCAAATTTGGATGATCGACATTGTGGCTTAGCCAATTTAATAAAAAAAATTTTTTGATTTTTTATACAGTTTAAAGTACTTTGTATTTTCATGATTTTTCAAAATCTATCAATTAAATCTATTCTAAAAAGAAAGCCAGCAAAAGATCTCTATGTAACCCACCTTGTATTAAAATTAATCAAAAATAATCACAATATTCAAGAAGTTTTATTAGAGGCGAATTTTAT